GTCCTGACCTGATGAAGTAGCTCGTCTGTGCTGGCTCATTCTTTCGAACAGTGGCTGTTTTGTTTCCCCAAGGTTTAACTGATCACAGTCCTCCAGCATACACTATATTACTCTGTTTTTGCCAATGATACCAAAACAAAGAGGGACAAAAACAAGGGGATGTTGAACTCCCACTTACATTCACTACATACAGTAAACATAACACGACACGGGTCAGATGATGGGAACATGACCCTCTATGAACAATAGAACTAATCAAGTCTATTGTTAGTCTGATGGTCCTCTTTTACATGTGACTAACCTGTTTGTCCATGTGGAGGCGGAGCTTATAAGGCTGAGTTCACCTGAAACTCATCAGACTGAAGAAGTCTCTTGGAGGAGAGACGAAACGTTTCACTAAAGAAGAACCATCCAGAGGACCTACTGATTTTTTCTTTTAGATCAGTGAACWGTGTTTACAGATGATGTGTGGAAGTGTTCCTGAGTCCATGCTGTGATGTCAGAACCAGACCTGTTCTTAACAGTGGCCCCCTGAGGGCCTGAAGATCACAACCATCCAGTGTTGACTTTGATTAGTTAGTAAAAGCTGCTCCAGCTGTTTCTGATTTCTACCACCAACATTTACAGCCTGTTGTTGCTCCTCTTCCAGTTTTTTTGGGAAGTGTTGCTGCCACAGAAGTGAAATGTACTTTTGTTTTTCCAAAAACAGGTTTTTATTTTGGACAGGTTTCCTGTGTTTTGTTGTGGAAACAAACTGACAGGTTTGTGTGAACCTGAAGTTGATGTTTCAGTCTGACACAACGCCACAGCTGCTGCAGAGCTGGGTTTGTGTAAACATTCAGTTTCAGGTTCTGGATCAGAGTGAAGAACTGGACGTTTTTCTTAGAAACACACCTCGTGCTGTGGAAGAGTTGTTGCAGAAATGTTTGTAAATGCAGTGACCCTGTCTAACTGTGTGGATCACACTTCTACCCCCTCACTCTTACCCCCCATCCTTTTCTAAAGTTTCTGTGAGRCACAAACACCTGAGGACACCTCTCTGTCCACCACCAACAGTTTCTGTCGTCTCCTCATGCTGCAGGAGGAGACGACATGTTTTCCACGATTGTTGGTGTTTTTGGAGGGTTTTTTCCCAACACCTCATGTTGGCTACTATTCTGTCCATCTCCCAGGTTTCCCATATCAGTATTGTTCAGGTTGATCCACAAAAGCTTTTGGCTGTTTTATTTTATTTTTGTTTGGTTTAGTTTTTTAACCCATAAGAACAGCAGATTGGTTGTCCTCTTGATGGCACTGTAACAGCCTGATCCAGCAGTCGGTTTTTTTGATGGTATGTGGCCTTCTAACTGCTTTGTATTGTTTGGTCTTGATGAGATTAATAAATCACTCAGTCTTATTTTTTACTGAACTAATTATTTCTCTTTTTCTTTCTGTTGTAGTCAGTATAAAGTCAAGATGTCAGTCAGAAAATAAACTTGTATTTAATAATAATACATTTTATTTATAAAGTGCCTTTCAGGACACCCAGGGACACTGTACAATAGAAAAGAAACAACTGTAAATACATAGAATGAGAGGGTTGTGGGGGAGAAACAGAAATGAGGACTACAAAACAGTCATATTCAGGTACAATGACCAGTCAATCAGAGTTAGCAGTGGTAGGCTAATTTGAAAATGTGTCTTCAGGCCAGTCTTAAACAGGGAGAGAGAGGTGGTATTACGTAATCCATGGGGT